TATCTCCTGTCCTTGGTGATCTCAAAACTACAGGAGAATTTTCACCTTTTTTTCATGCTTCCCAATTCTTACAGAATACCCAAATAGTCCTATGGCTATGCAAAACAATATTGTCACTTAGGTACATAGAGTAAAACCTAAACAAGACTAAAAACCTTCACTGTGGTTTCCTACCACCTCACTGCTGCTGTCAGGAGACTAAGGATTCACCTCTTCCATCCTGGTGCAAGTCCCAAAACTCAGTTTGGTTATCCTGGGTCAGATGTACCTGCAAAAACACTCCATGAACAATGCTGAAATTTGCAATTTTGCACCAGATCTTCCCATCAGTTACAACTCATGGAAATCTTTGTTATGGGGAGAACATGTTCAAGGACTGACATCTCACATGAGAATATGAACAGAGAGTTCTTGCCAGAGAATCTCAAACAGAAGCATCATTTGAATAGACAACTACATAAAATATTGGTTTACTGCTGGATTAGCAGTATCTGCAGAAATTGGCTCCTATAATACTGTTATCCTTATCAATATCACATTATTCCATCCCACTGTCACATTAATCTGGACACAGGTACTTCCAGGTGCACTGCAGGAGGCAGAACACAGATCTTGGTGGTGGAATACAACATTCCAAAATTCTCAGAGCCAAAACCTCTTTAGATGTATATTTTTATTGAATTTTTTCACAAGCTTAAAGCATATAAAAATAGAACACTCTAATATCAGAAAATAGAACACTATCATAGCAGAAGTTGTTGAAATGGTGTGTAACTGTCATTTTAAATAGCTTGAATTTATTAACTGTGTCCACAACGAAAAACCAAAACCCCAAGGTGAAAAACTGTGGCAAACTGGTAGAAATTCATTTCAGTGAAGTGGGTGCAGACAACTGAAGGATGCAAGAACACTTAATTCCTTCTAGATGTACTTCAGTTCATTTCTCTAGTCCATCAGAGGTCAAAGAGGTGATTCTTCCCCTCTGCTGTGGTGAGACCCACCTGGAACACTGCACACAGTTCTGGTGTCCTCAGCATAAGGACATGGAACTGTTGGAGCAAGTGCAGAGGAGGCCACAAAGTTGCTAAGAGGATTGGAGCATCTGCCCTGTGAGGACAGGCTGAGGGAGTTGGGGCTGTTCAGCCTGGAGAAGAGAAGACTGTGTAGAGACCCCAGAGCAACTTTTCAACATCTGAAGGGGCTACAAGGAGCCAGAGAGGGACTCTGTGTTAGGAACTGCAGTGACAGGACAAGGGGAAATGGGTTCAAACTGAAGGAGGGAAAGTCTAGGTTGGATGTGAGGAAAAAGCTTTTTCCCTGTGAGGGTGGTGAGACACTGGCACAGGTTGCCCAGGGAGGCTGTGGCTGCCCCAACCCTGGTGGTGTTCAAGGCCAGGTTGGATAAGCCTTGAGCAACCTGATCTAGTGAGGTGTCCCTGCCCAGGGCAGGGGTTGGGACTAGATGATCTGTAAGGTCCATTCCAGCCCCTAAATTCTATGATCTCTGTCCACACAAAAGGTAACTTTCCCCCAGGTTTTAAAAAAGTTGACTTTATTGGTTATAGAAAACGTGTCATGAGAGTTCCACCTAGTTGGGCATTAAGTGCTTGCAACACCAGAGAACTGAGGTGGAATTTACATGCTGGAGGAGGAAAATCTCTTCAGTGCTTACCTGCATTGACAGCCCTCAGCAAGGCTACAGTGGTCAAAGCAAGGACAACCCCACTTTTATGTCAAAGTGTCACTTTTAATGTTTTCATTAGAATAGTCTTTATATCACTCTCCAATAGAAGAAACAATAGAGCTAACAGCAAACTTTAATACAGGAACATGCTCCAAGATTAACAACCCAAAATGAGAACAGAATGAAATTAATGTCAAATGCAAATCACATATTTGTACAATTGAAGTGTCCAAAACAATTTAAATAATTTTAAATATTTTATTTTTTTAAACTTGCTACAAATGCTTTATACAATATTTCAACATAAAGTCCCCAGAACAGAAATGTAACAAAATGGGAATGATAGTGAAAGTGAAAGTTAAAGTGGCACAAATTCACCAAACAAGTATTAAACTACAAATTTTAAGAGGTAGATTACTTTTTAAGTCAAGAACAACAAAAAAAAAAAAAGAAAAAGGGTGGCTGGATATAGAAACTAATCACTTTGCATCAGTTCTGGCATTAATCCTGAAAGCTCTAGGAACACAGGACAAACAGTATTTCCAGAAAAAACTGTTATGAACAACAGACCAATTTGTTGTCTTCAGTTATTAGGAGGTGTTTGACCTTTGAGAGTAATTATATATTCAACTTGCAAAATATACAGGTGTACACAGGCCCTGCTCTGGCCTTCCAAGCCATAAAAACATCCACTGCATCCATAATACATCTGGAATTGAGAAACTGACAGTGGTAATTCATTGCTATAGAAAGTTTCATTTGTATGTATAAATAAGAACTTGGAAAAATCCATAAAACATCCCATCAGGCTTTTTTTTCCCCACTGTATGCTGGACATCTAAAAGATTCAGGAATTGAGGAGAAGGTGGGAAGAAGAGGGAATTCTGCCGTGCTGGGTTGGCCTCTATTCATATAGACAAAAGGCTTTAGGAGGTTTAATACATGACAAAAATACTTTGAGTGCAGCAACATTTGTTGTCCCTGAATCTACACTGAATTAGGACATGCTGAAGTGATGCCATTCCCAAAGGTATGGATAAAACCAGGAGCTAAGCAAACACCAGAGCAAAAGGTTTGGTTTAGTTAACTCCACTATTTCTGCTGATGATTTCCTGTGGGGTTAACTGGTTTTTCACAGTCCCTTTGTCTTATCTGAATGCTCCTGTAGCCCAGTGTGTGTGTCCAGCACAAAATACCAAAGTGTGGGCCTGACTCTGACAGCAAAAAGTCTGCAGGCAACTCTGACTCTGCTCCTGTGGGTTTCCCAAGCTTGGATTCCCCATCCCTTGGCGCAGTGCTTATCCTAAGGTGAGCAACAGCTCTACCATGGCAATAAGGGATTTGGGTTGGTTTGTTTTTACAGGAGATTCCTAGAAAATAAGAAAACCAAAACATAACAAAGACCGAAGAGAAATGACAGAACTATTTGTGAACGGAGTATGTTTACACAGAGGAACTGAAAGGTGAAAAACAGATCAGGAGATAAGTATTGCAGGAAATTGCAGTCTTGGAAAAATAGGAAGAATTCAGATTTCCTGGAAAAGAACTAACTCAACTGTGGCTACAGAGGGTAGAATCAAAGCTATACTGTGCTGATGGTGTATGAAGGCAAAAAAATGCTTCATACTATACAAAAAGGTGAGCAGACAATCTAGATTTATGGATGTTATGTCAAAACTCAAAGGAATTTTCTAGTGTAATACTAAACCAGTGAAGACTGTAAGGTGCCAACGTGAACTGACAGTACTGGAGCCAGTCAAAGACATCTCACCCCAGGGAAACTGTTAATTCCCCCAAACACTGCTAAACAATTCCCACCTGACTGATTCCAAATACTTGGTTACTTTGCCTGAGGCCTGATTTAGATGCAAAGTTGTGTTGTTTTGGTCTCTTATTCTACTGATCTGTTCTGGCACCATGTAAATCAAGTTTCACACCTAACACTAAGAGCAGGTGATGAGGATTCACATGAAGGTGTTTATGTCCCAACAGAACAGGCCTGGTAGACATTTCTTGCTCCTAAGAGGCATTTTTCACACCATTAGTCTCCAAATTCCACTCACATTTTTCCCCTCCAACACATCCTAACTTGGATATGGACTATTTTCAGCCAAATTCTCCTCCAGGACTTGGGAAGAATTCTGTTATATCCAATCTTTACAAAGGATTTCCTCAAAATTTCACCTAGGAGGTCTTCACTGTAAGACACACAAGCTGTGAACAGTTTGACTTTGACACTGAACAGTTCCTCCCCCTCCTCCACCAGCAATGACTTCCAGACCAGCTCCTCCCCTCAGCCCTCAATCTGGTGCTAATCACAGCTCTGCAGCTATCACACCCCAAAGAGCTCTTAATGACCCGAGTGAGCTTTGGGAAAGTTCCTCAGCAAATCAAATACCTCTTTCCAAGATCACCAGGGCAGGAGTAAACTCCTAGAGGTTATAAACACTGTGCAAAATACCCTATTGAGTGGAGAGACTAGATGAAGAGTCAGTCGGGACTCAGGCACATAGATTAAGATTTTATTTATTTATTGAAGTATTACCCTTTCTTGTGATTAAAATGCTTCTTCTCAAAAAAAAAAAAAAAGAAGAAATAGAGCTTTAATTATAAAATTTGATAGTGAAACAGAAAAGCATGATACTTCTAACAAATTTACACGGTCATGTAACTTCTCTTACATGTCTAGTTCCCTTATATTAAGTATTTCATGATCTGACTCAATCCATTCACACATACATTTTGGAAGGATTTGGTCATGGTTTGTTGCTTTTATAGATTTCTCTCTATATATATATGCAGAGAATGCTTTTTATTACAAACCAACAAAGTTATTCTAGTCAGGAAAGAATGCAGTTGTGACTTTTAGCTGAGTGAACCACCACAAAGAAATCTAGAACGATTCTGGGCCACCTTAGATGTCAGATCCCAAACACAAGGTCAGTGTCTCCAATAACATTGAGTTTGATTGACATGACGTTTATTTGCACTCAGGTATTGACAGTTTGTTGTTTTGTTGTTGGGTTTTTTTTCCAGAGGTTTCAATTCAGTTTATAATTAAAGACATTCTCTATACAAACCGTGTATGACTTTCATGACAACATGACAAAATGCATCAAGTATGTACATCATACCTCAGCATCAATGAGCTGCTCAACCATGGTGTGGGCAACGCGACTTTTTGTTTTATTGAAGCATGAGAAACTCAGAGGAAATTTTTAAAAAAAAAAAAAGAAAAAAAAAAAGACCAAGGAAATTGGCAAACCAGCAAGCAACGGTGTTCCTGGGTTGTTTCAACTTCAAAGGAAATGCTTACCTGAAATCTTTCAGTTCTTGCTTTGTACTGCTTTCATCTCTTTTGCTTTCTGCTGCCTCTGCGTTTGCTGCCTGCTGCAGGCTCCGTGTGATGGGTCCTCCAATCCTCTCTCTAGACTTTACACTGAACCTGTCTGCCTTTTTCTTACTCCCCACAGCAGATTTGCTTGGCAAAACAGCTTTGTTATTCCTCTGTATCCTGACATGCAGTTTCCTGGATGCTTTGCTGGACATCCCCGAGGAGGAGCTGTTCTTAGTGACCACCTTAGTCTTTTTCCCATCCACGTGGGACATCTTAGACACTCTCACCGGACTAGAGTTCCTCAGTGACGACGATGAGTTTGGCTTTTTGGATCGCATGGAAGGGACAAATTTAACATTTTGCTTGGACTTGAAGGAGGCAGAGGGAAGCTGGAGCTGTGCAGGCCCTGAGGTTCGCGCTCTCGTCTTGCCCAGGTGTGGCTGTGTGCTCTGCATTTTGATCTCGGCGTCCGCTGTGCGCCGGCGCTGGCTGCCGCCCTTGTCGCTGCTGCCAGGGGAGGAACTCGCACTCTTTTTGGAAGAATTCTTCTTAGAGGAGGGAGAAATGGGTTTTTTGGGACAGCTGTACGAGGCATGTTTGTTCAAGCTGCCAATGTAGGTGAACTCTCTGTTGCAGTAGGGGCAGATGTGAGGGTCTGACTCGGATGGATTGGCTTTCAACTCTGCCTTCTGCTGGGCAGATTTCTTTTTTTGCAGGATAGCTTTCTGCACCAGTTGGTTTTTCTTTTTCAATGCACTTATTTTTAGTTTATTGGAGGACATTTTGCTGATCTCCACATTGAAGTTCAGTCTTTTAGGCTGCCCCATTCTCCTGAAGGCATTCTTCCCAGCCCCAGCGATGACCACCACACCGTTCTTGGGCTGCACTGTCTGTTTGAGGGGCACTGGATTTTTTTTAGGGGTGTATCTCTTTTTGTCACTGGCAGATGCACAGGCCAATATGTGTTTGTGTAGCTCAGGCATGTTATCAACACTTTTGCCACATTTTGTGCAGCGAATGGCAGTAGTAAAAGTCTGGGGAATATTGTGGGTAGTGAAGTTTGTCGCAGTAACTCCGATACCCATAGGATTGCGATGGTGATACTGAAATGGAGGTGGTTTAAAGCTTGGGTAGTGTTGGTTGAGGCCCATACGAACATCTGGATCTTTAGATTTGACTCCAGAAGCCATTATTTTTATAGTAGTATAAAGCTCTTCAGAGGAATCATTTAGATCTTCATCTTCCTCCTCTTTAGAAGGTTCTAAAGAATCTTCTGGCAAGCTCTGCATGTGCTCTGCATTGGCTTTCGTGGGGTCAGTAAAATTCTGGGGTCTCAAAGTCCCACTTTCAAACTCATGATGTGTGCACTCCTTGTCTGGATGGAGATCTCGCTGATGCTGTTGCAGATTGCACAAAAAAGCAAATTCCTTTTTGCAGACTGAGCAAACAAAGATATTCCCTACTCCATGGAGCAGGAAGCGATGTTCTGACAGGTCTGTTTTATCCCTAAAAAGCTGGACACAGAATTCACATTTGAAGGGCCATTCCTCAGCATGAATGGATAAATGCTTCGTTAGGTCTTTAATGGAAAGGAAAGGTGATTCACAGACATTGCACACAAAGCTCTTGTTGAATGTTTCCTGCACTACTCCTGACTCGCTTGACGTGTGAGGATCTTCTCTTGATTTCTGCTGCTCGTTCTCAGCTTCCTCCTGTTTTATCACTGGGAGAGTACTCTCAAGGTTATCAGCAGAGGAAACAACAGAAGAAACGACAGAAAGAGGAGGTGGAGATGGAGAGGATGAAGATGAGGAGGAGGAGAAAGAGGAGGAAGAGGAGGAGGAAGAGGAGGAAGAGAGTGTAGGGGGGCCGGGCGAAGCAGCAGAAATAAGAGGCTCAACAGAAGGAGCAGGAGACGGAGAAGGAGAAACTGTAGGTGAAAGAACTGGCAGTGGGGACTGGGTAGTAGTGTTGGAGAGTGGGGATGGACAGGAGGAAGCGTTGGTGGCACTGGCAGAGGCATCTGGAACCGCTAGTGGCATGGTCGGGAGCAGGGGAGGAGGTGACGTGGCGACTGTCAGCACGGGGGGACAGGGCGGGGGGGAAGGAGGGTTGGTGGGTGTCAACAACGGGGGCAGCTGGCACACAGCAGGGCCTGCAGCTGCCTGGGGCACGGGGGAAGCTGAGGAACTGAGGGGCTGAGTGTCCACAGAGGATGATGCTGAGGGACTGGGATCCACGTTGGGATCTGCTGGAGGCTCCAGAGCTTTGCCGGGGCTCACACCGCTGTCCGCGCTGTCCGGTGCTGCGTCCGTCCCGTTGTACTCGTTCAGCAGAACCTTCTGTAGCATGCAAGTGGTTGGTTTCTTCTTTTTAACCCCACTACAGGTTGGCTGGATGGAATTCTCTTTGTATTCCCTAATTTCAGCCTCGCTGCAAGGCTTCTTATGCACACTTAAATCTAAAACAGATTCCCAGGGAACCTGAGTCTTACTTTGGACGTCAGCCCTTTGTTTCATCCCGCTGGATAAGTCCAGTGGCTGCTGGTTGCACACGTTGCCAAAAGTTGGAGCTGCTGTCCAGTCTTTTGATACTTTATATTCTTCAAAGCAAAGAGGGCTCAAGGTCTCCTTGTCCTCCCTCCCAGTCAGGCTCCAAGCAGGTGAGTTGCTGTGGCTTTCTAACTTTGGCATTTTTGAACTCCGAATATTATCATTCCACAGAGTTTTTCCCTCACCTGATTTGCCAAAGTCTCGAAGCACTGGACTGTGCTGGGGAGAACTGGGAGGAGAACTGGTCCTTCTTTTAAATCTACTGGACGATGGAGGCAAAATAGGTGATGATGTAACAGAAGGTCCTAGTTTAGGGACTTCACTTGATGGAGTTATCTTCTTGCTATCCTGGGTCTGCAGAAGTTGCTTTAATTTGGATGACAAATAAACCCCTTTTTCTTTATGAAAAGTTAAGCTTTCTGTTGAAATGCTAAGAGGAAGATTTAAAGAACTAGTAGGAGTTATAGGTTCTGGGTCTGTTTCAGTTTTTATTTTTGGTACAAGAGGAGGGCTGGCAGTTCTTCTCTTTTTGGACTCATTGCTCCCACTGCTGGAGGCTTCCTTGGGAGGCTCAGCCACGTGTGTTTGTGTAACCTTTAAATTGGAAGAGATTTCCACCGTGACTGGACTGATGATACAGTTCAACCCATACAGCTCTGCAGAGTTGGACTCCATCTGAATCACATCACAGTTGCTAGTGCTGCTGTTGGACTGAATCTTACCATCAATGTAATAATTTAAATTCTCAGAGATATTGCTGGAAATATCCATGATATAAACATCATCTACCTCCCCTTCCTCCTCTATTTCAGTGCTGGCTATGTACACACTCTGCACCGCCGGGGTGGGCTCCACGGGCAGCGGGGGTTCCTCAGGGAAGAATCCTTTTCTTCTGACTCCTTTGGGAATGAGGTGACGCTCATGGACCCTCCGCTGATGCCTCCTCATGTTGGTGTGAGTCCCAAAAACCTTTTTGCAGTACTTGCACGGATGCAATTCTTTGGGCTCCTTGTTCTCCTCAGCAAAAGCAGAGTTGGACATTTCTTGGGCAACTTTCTCAGAGTCCAAGACAACAGAGTCTTGCACAAGGCCGGAAATGTTCAGGTCATCCTTGAGACCATCATCCACAATCACCTGGTTATCAGCCACGTTGTCCAAGTGCTGGGATGAGGTTAGTGTCAGGAAGGGTTTCCTCTTTGGCCCTGCCTCATGGCGCCGCTCGTGCCTCCTCCTGTTGATCTGGGTGCCAAAGGCCTTCTCGCAGTAGCGACACCTGAAGGCATGGCTGAGGGTGGAGATGTGGATGTGCATGTGGCGTTCGAGTCCCTGCTTGGTTGTAAACTTCCTCTCACAATGCTGACAGGGAAACATGAATGTTTCCTGAACATCACCGTTGGATTCCCCTCTCGCTTTTGGGATTTTCACCACCAGTTTTTTCTTTGGAGAGCTTTCTGGAGACTCCTCTGACATACTCTTTTGCTCCTCTATAGAGTCTAACTTTTCTTCACATATCAAAGGCATTTCAGCATTTTCTTTAGGCAAATTGGTATCTTCTATCTCCTCCTCATCCTCCTCTTCTTCATCCTCCTCCTCTTCATCATCATCTAAATCATCTGATGCACAGTTCATTGCTTCTCCTTGTTTGTCTTCAGTTACCACTTGTGGCTCACTGGTTGGACTGGGGATCATCAGCTTTGGAAGGACATCTTGATTTACCATTTCCTGAATCACAGCTGTTTGTTCCAGGGACAGCACAGCAGAAACAGAAGGTGTTTCATCTTCCTCTTTATGACCTGAAGCACAAGGGTGTATAAAAGAAAAGCATGAGACATTTTTACCAAATACTTCAGAGTATTCTACACCTTTCTTCTCCCTTTTCCTCTAACACAACATATCCAACATTCCTGACCCAGCACAGGGAGTGAGTGCTGAGCTGGTGCTTTAATACTGTATTTTTCCCCTCTTGACACTGACTTCTGTTACGCAGCACTAAGTAATGACTGGTAACTAAGCTCCAAATACACTGTTTTAGAATAAAGACTTTGCTCTGCTATTCTGTTCTAAGGAATTTGGATTTATGTCTAAATTTTGCAGTACATTAGTTGGGGTCAGAGCTGTAAGCTTAATGCCTAACTCAAAGAAAAATTTGGGTAACAATATAAAAGAGTTCACTCTGCCACACTAACATAACTTGCTAATATACTAAACATGGCAAAAAGTGTCCTTTGATTCAAAAAGATAATTAGAAGGAAAACAGTAAGACAGTTGAGAACTCACCCTCTTTAGAATCCCTCATGTCTGCAGAAGTGGAATCCAAATCAGTCTTTTTTTGCTTTGTATCCGCTGCCTTCTTTGCCCTGTTTTTACCTTCCTGAGTCTTTTTCTTTCCTGAGGAGAAAAAAACCCATTTGTTATTTCTGTTCAACAGTTTTTATTTGCCATCTTCGAGTGGCAGATTTGGAGCATAACACAGTTCTGCAGCCCCTGCTCTCCTGAGGAACACAAATGACAGGTTAGTAGGACAGACAGCAGTCAGGTAAAACAGTCTCTAGAGCCCAGAAGAAATTAGAGATAATAATGAGTTTCCAAAAACCTCAGACTACAAAATTCTTTACTCATTTTCAAAGCAAGAACTATCGGAGAAACATCCTGTCCGGGGTTAACCATCTCACAGAATAGTTACCAAATCAAGGCTATTAAATTCCTGTATCTCACAGAAGTATATGGAAGATGGGAAATTTCTTCATCATTCCTTACTGTTAACTGGAAGACCTTATGGAATAGAAACTCATAGAGGTTATTGTAATTGCATAAACACTCTGAATAATGAAGAGAGCTATAATAAAAGCAATGAAGTAATAATATCATGAGGAGACTAAAGCACCATGAGCTTGACCAACACAGCAAAGGCAGTAAAACCAAATCAGATGGAACTGGGTAACAGCAAACAAAAAGGTGTTTTGTTGTGTTCACTGACACAAACGAGTTTGCTAACACATTCAGTTAGCAAAATGAAGCACAAGTATTAGTTGCAGAGGATGAGGAACACAAAGATGAGGGCAAAGGGGCATTATGCAAAGAGCTAACTGGGAGTGCAAGATGTGAATGCACTGAGAACCTCATTGCCCAATGCACTACAGAGCACTGCTCATTTCTGCCATTCACCTTACAGATTCAGGCCTATAATACACAGAAATTATGACCAGGAGTGTGTAGTAACAAATGGAACTTTGAGGTTTCCCAGTTCGACTCATCGCACAGCCCAAACTCTCCTCACAAGAAATGGAACACGCTGTCTCCTCTGAAATGTCACTTCACCTCTGAGGAAGAACTGTCCAGCAGCAGTAATCCAAATTCCTCCTTTGCTCCCTCTACCACACAAAATGCTACTTCATAACACACTGCCTCCTCCCTCTGCTCAGAGCTGTGCATCACAGCCCCAAATCCACTTCCTATGGAGCAGCACATTCTTCCAGCTCACAACCCTGTCAACAAGTTCCTCCTTTTTCCCCTCGAAAACATTTTTCACATCTTGAGCCACGAAACTGAAATACCTTTAAAAAAAAATGTTGCTCTAGTCAAACTGAGACTTTCCAAGTAAGCACCCCCAAATAGAGCAGGTCAGAGACAGGTCAGCTTTCAGAGGAAACACTTGTTTTGATTTGAACATTCTACTCTAAACAATTATCTGTACTTCCTCTCAAGGAGCTCAGATTTCACAGGCTCTCCCCATATTCTGCTGGGTTTCAGTCTCATGGATGCAATAAAACATTTTTGGTTAGTCTCAAACTGACGACAGTTACTCCAAATGAAGTTTTGTCACCTTTGCAAAACACACACACTGACACTCCTAAAGTGAACTAACAATCACCTCCAATATCCTCCAACACTGCACCAACCCTCATGTCTAACCCTGTCATAATGCACCAACAGTTCATTATTTGGACAATGCAATACTCAATTTTGATTTCATACCAAACACCTGCAAGTTGTCAGAAGATTTAGCACCTCTTTGAGTGTTCACACAGGCACAAGGAGTTTAAGTGCATCTTTACCTGACAGGCACCTCTAACGTTCATGATTACAACACTAGTACCACAGGCTGAGCATGAAGTACTTCAAACAAGGTTCTAAGTCATAGAATCAGAGAATTTAGGGGTTGGAATAGACTTTGCAGATCATCCAGTGCCAATCCCCTGCCCTGGACAGGGACACCTCCCACCAGAGCAGGTTGCTCAAGGTTCATCCAGCCTGGCCTTTAACACCACCAGGGTTGGGGCAGCCACCTGAAATTGCTCTGGAAATGTAGAGTAACACAATCAAACAGTTCCATTTCTAGGTAAAAAGTGTGACTGTCAGGTTGAAATACATTACTAGGGATCAAACATGCATCACACACACCTTGGGAGTGGCACACAAATCATATTGCATTGCTAGAACCCTAAGAGCTGTCAACACTTGTCATCTGAAGACCGACATCCTCTCTTGACTTAAATGACCAAATTTTCAGTTCTCTCTCTCCAGGTAAGACTGGGAACAAGGAAGAAGAGCTTGGTCCACAGGCCTCTCTCACCTGTGTCAGACATGGCCAAAATTACAGTCAGTGCTTTACCCCACAGTGCAGTGTATGATCCACTGCAGATGGAGTCACTGGACAACTCTACATCCAGTTCTCCAGTAGCACTGAAGTGCAGCATAACAACAGGTTACTGTAAAAGCCTTCAGACCAAGACCCTACACTAGAAACACACTGTGCTCTTTCAAGTGTGAGGCAAACTATGAAAAACACCAAAAACCCCAAGTGCTAAAGTATGACCGAGTGGTTTAAAGCGTTCACTATTTAGTGTTGAACATTTACAGAATATACAATTTGTAGTACTCCAAATCCACTTATAATCTGGAAAAATCACTACAATAGCAGATTTGCACACAATAGGGAATTACTCATCACACACTTCCTCAGGCTATTGATGGAAAGATCATTTGCAAGTTCTCCTGCCACACTCCTAGGAGAGATGCAGCTGCTCACAATGCAACCTGCTCCCTGAGACAGTTCAAGCTCTTGGCCTTTAAGCATCAACACATTTGAAGAGAAGATTCACCTCACACCTAACCTGCCCTCACTCTGAGCAGTGAGCAGAACAGCTTGTGTACATACCAAGTGCTGACAAACACCAGCCAGAGACACCAACCCATGACTGGTACTTCCCTTAACCACACTGAGTCTGTTCTGGTAGGAGAATGACTGGCCCAGGTGGATCCTTTCGTGGCCCTGAACGTTCAAAAGGAGATGCTCAGGAAGAGAATTTAGGAATAGAGCACTAGTAAGGTGGTAATTCACTGATATGCTCTCCCAGCTTTCACATGGCTGGAGTGCAGGAACTTGTGAAGACATTTAACAGCTGTTGATCGATTTTCTCCTATCAAAGTGCTTTCTAAATCCACGCAAACCTGAAAGATCTGCACCACTTTCTTCCTGCAGATTTTCCATGAAAACACAACCTCTTATCTGATAGAAAGTTTGCACTGAGTAGGCCAAGGCCTGTCCCTGAGTTTTCTTACAGTTCCAGAGATCAGGAACTAAGAGAAGCCTGGAGGAGGGGGAAATGCCTCAGAACACAGAACCTGGTGGAAACCTGAGTATAAGTACACACGTGCACTTACCATCAGGTTCCTGAAGGGTCCTACATGGCTGCTACTGCCAGCTGGATCCTCCACTTGGTCTAAACAAGAAAGATACAGGAATGAAACACAGGGAAAGTGAAATGGAAACAATGACAAAAGAATAAATGAAGGGCAGGACTTTATCTAGGTGTATGTGCATCAGAAGAATTGGAACAGAAAGATGTAAAGGAAAATGAATGAAAGAACCAGATGGAAAGTAGGTCTGTATAGTGAGCAAGGTCAAAAGAGGAATGAATGCATCAATTTCTCTTGCAGCTGTAAACAGAGTTCGTTTTTCTCCTTTCCTTCACTGATGGTGTAAGATGGGTCAGCACAGGCATTATTTGCCTGTACTTTCACAACACCTGTACAACACTGCAAGAGGCACAGGAGATCTCAGGCTACTGCCAGTGCCCACATCAGCACCACTCCCACCAGTTTTGGAGATCCAATGCCAACAGAGCAACAACTTCAGAGAAAAATAACCTTCATCTGCCTACACTTCATTTTATTGATAAAGGCAAACAACCTGTGCTCAGATTTCTGCTGTTACCCAAAATACTAATGGAAATGTTAAACCACTGGTTATTTCTGGTGGGATGGGATAAGCATACTGAGATGCCAGGAGGGAAGCTGTTAAACAAGAGTCTTTCCACACACTTGGAGCTGAAGTCTCTAATTAAATATTGCTCAATTGTACAAGAAGTTATTACCTATATTAACCTTTGAGTGCAGTATCAGACATTCACAGTTAAGATCATGAAGCAAGAAGGACACTAACACCTGAGCTCCAATGCTGCTTCAGTCTCCTACAAGCAACAGACATTTGCCTCCCCAAAACTCTCGGGTTAATAAGGGAAAACAATAATTGACAGGGGTTGAAATTAGTGTTATTTCTTTGAATCTGTAGCTAACAACTGCAGCCCAGTAACACATCTACCCCACACCTCATCTGTGCTGTACCACAGACACCTGCCCAAACCCCAAACCTCCTGGAAAACAGTGGACAAGGTCCCTCAGGCCCCCTGGGAAGTATTCCTAGAGCCCAGACAAGGGCAGCACCTTGAAGGGGTATAGCTGAATGGAAAGACAAACTGCCACGTTACCCTCCGACAACACTACTGTTTCATGATGTGAATTACAGTGTAGTAACATAAACTCCCTGGTTAAATCCCTTTGGAACTGCTTCAGATTACAGGTTGCATCAATCCCAAGCAGGAGTTGCTATTATGCTCTAATCAACTTTCACATTTTTTATCCTATTGAAAGAAACCACTATGTTGTCACTAGAGAGAATGAAATAAAGATGAATACACAAACTAAGACATCCTTTTGGAAATTCAGCAAAGACAACTGCTTGATCATTGCCACATTCTTTTGATTAATAAATTCTAGCACAAACTTGAATTTTAATTGGAGAAACAGCTTGCTGAGCACCAGAATTCATCTGTTCCTGTATCCAGAATACTGGTAGGTGTCATGTGCTCCAAAGTCAATTCCTTCAGCCTTCAGGCATGGGTAAAACTCTGTGGCTGTCTGTGCTGAACACACGAATGCCTTTTTCACACACAAAGCCATATCCAAAATAACAGCATCATTTGCTCCAAAAAAAAAGGTAAATCCAAGTTCTGTTAGCTGCAGGAGCATGAAAAACTGCAGAAACATGTTCTTCTTAGAACCTTATCCAAGCATGAATGGCACAGCACGAAGATGTTA